TCGTTGGATTTTCTGAATGGATATGTTTTCCTCTTTCATCATATCAGGGAAGTTCTCCTCCAGCAAATCTTGAACAGTTTTCTCAGTGGTGGTGTTTTTCTCTTCCTATTTGGGAATTCCAATGATATGTAGATTGTTTCTTTTGATGGTATCCCACATGACCCTTAGGCTTTCTTCATTTTGTTTTGATTTTTTTTCTGATTGATTCCTTTCCAAAGAAATATTCAGGTATTTGTCTTCAATCTCATTAATTCTGTCTTCCACTCATCAGTTCTACCCCTTTGCCCTTCCAATGTGTTATCTATTTCTGACAATTTAGTATTAATCTTTTGGATTTCTTTCTGTAGATTTAGAATCTTTTCTAATTTTTCATTTTGTTCTTGTATTTTCTTCCCAAATTCTTGTAAGGTTTTTTCTGTGTTTTCTTTGGTCTGTCTTTCAATCCTTTGAAAATACCTAAAGATAATTCTTTTGAATTCCTTATCAGAGAGTTCCAATGCTGCTACTTCCTCAGTGATATGTTCTGGGTCTGTATCCTGTTCCCTTGTTTCTACCACTTTATTTTGCTTGCTTCTTTGTGTGGACTGTGATGGTCTGTTGTCTCCGAGGCATCGTGGTATTGTATTAAGGTCTCTGTTATCTGTTTGTGAAGAGCAGCCAAGCGTGATTCAAGCTCTTCTTGGTGGTTTTCAATTGTTGGCCCATTGGTGGAGAAGGAGGTGTTGACTCTTGCTCAGTAAGTGATTTTGCAGGAGGTGTGGGTGTACTTGTATCTTATGGGGACTGTTGCTGTCTCCCACTTAGTTAGGCAAAAATTACAATTGAATAACCAAAGAAAAAACTAAAAGCACATGGAAAAATAATATACCATGAAATCACACAGGAACAGTAACCCCCCAAAAAAAAAGAAAAAGGGGAGAAAAGAAGAAGAAAAGAGGTAAACCTGCAATATCTGGAGTTAGAGCACTAAGAAGAGAAAGGTAGAGAAGGAGAATAATGAAGAAAGAAAACAAAACAAAATCCATCAAAGAATGGGGTTAACCATGAGAGGAAAAAAAGTGGAGGGGGGATGGAGAGAAAAAAAAAAAGAAGAAGGTGTAAACTAGGACCTTTTCAGTCATGCAGTGCAGGTCCGGAGAGTTCTTAGGGTTACTGGAAAGCAGACCCTCTTCTTAAGCCTCTGGAATCTGGTAAAGTGCTGTCTCTTTAGGTTGTCTCTAGCTACTGGTTTTATGTTGATTTGTTTTGTCTTGGTTTTATGGTTTAATATTTTGAAAAGGTGAAGCTGGTGTATTTTATTTTATTATTGATTCAGGTGTGTTGGGTCGCTCTGCTGTTTTCTTTGTGATGGTGGAATCACTGTGTGGAGTGTGGAAATGTGTTTCTGTTTGTTGCAGAGAGGGTTTAGAGTTTGAAGTGGGAGGTTTTATGGTAATTGGCTGAATATAGTTTCTTCTATTGAAAGAGTGAAATTATTGGCAGAGGAGGTGGGAGCAGAAGAAGAAAAGCTAGGTGTTGCTAGGGTTGGTTTCTAGGGCTTTAAGCAGGCTATTATCGATGACGTATTTATTTACAAGACCGTGGCTCAACCTCAGGAAATATTCCTATTGTTAGGGCATTGCAACTTTCCTCCAGTTTCAGGCACACTCAAAGACCCCGCTTCCGCAGCCCCCCAGTGCCAAAGAACAGCTCCAAGGCAAAATTCCTGGGACCGCACTCAGTCACTGTTTCTTCACTCTCCCTGCCCCGTCTGCCCATGGCACTGACACAATCCCACCAGACAGCTAATGGCTGGCTCTGGAGTTTGTCAGTGATACCGCCCACCTACGACGCCAAAGATGCACACAATTTCAGCTGTGTTGAAGTCAAGGGAGTATCTGCTAGTCATCTGCGGTCCCAATATCTGTGCCAAAGATAAGCATGATGTCTCCCAGTCTGATCCAAGCCCACTCTGTGACCCGCTGGGATGGGAGGGAGCTCACCTTCCTGGCACAACAGTGAGTTCTCTGCTTGAATCTCAGTGGTGGTGCCCATGCCTGCCTGCACCCAGATGACCCAAATTACCGACAAAATCAGCTGCTGCAGGCAGGTCCCTCCTGCTGCCCACTGGAATATTGGAGTGGTTGCTGGTATCCTGCTATAAGGTGTCTTCCTTCTTGGCTTGGGGATCTCAGGTGGCCTCCCTCACCCGCCAGTCAGTGAGTGCCCCAGGGAAGTTTCCAGTGACTTCTCTTGGGTGCCCATCTGTCCTCTGCTAGGTAGCTCTGTCTTAAATAGTCTCCCTGTGCCTTTCCTCTAATTCTGCTCTTCTCTGTTTGGTGCGTTCTGATTCTGTGAGCTGTTCGGAGTACCAAAATTCCTAATTCAAACTGTTGTACCTAGTTTTTCAAGCCCTTAAAAGCCAGAGGGAAATAATGTGCTGCTTACTGGCGAGACTCTGTTTTGAAAATCCTGTTCCCACATTCTAAATATCATGATTGGACAGTATCTTAAATTTTTGTTAATATATATTCTAAAAAGTGAATTTCTGTTATTTCTGCCATGTATAAAACATATCTATTTTCCAGAGTTGATTCTTTCAATCTCATGCTTATTGTGTACAAATGAAGGTGATAATAATTACTTCCCTTCCCATATTAATACTTCATTGTGAAATCTCCTTAAGTGCTTCTTTAGGGCCAGCTCTCAGGAATGGAACAAATTTGCCTGATACTGATCATATTGCAGAAAGATTGGGGATTATTTCATAAAACTTACGCATTACCTGCTCAAGACATGCATTTTTTTCTAACAGTAGTAATGATCATTTTCTATGCTGCTGACACAAAATAAACCAAATAACCTCTTCCATGATTCTTCTTCTTCATCCAAAGATGCCACTTTTCTTGTGGCTCTTGATTGGCTCCCTAGGGATGGGAGATAAATCTGAGGACCCTGCCCTTATTATTTAGAACAGGAGTTCTCAATGTGTGGTCTCTGCCCCAGCAACATTGTTGTTGTTGTTAAGTGCCATCGACTCATAGCGACCCCTCCTTGGGTTTCCAAGGCAGTATCACTACAGGAGTAGATTGCCCCACCTCCTTCCAAGGAGTGGCTGGTGGGTTTGAATTGCCCAGCAACATTAGCACCCTGGAACTTGTGGGAAATGAAATTCTCACTTACCAAATAAAAAAACTCAGAGCATGGAGCCCAGCACTCTGTGTCTTACATGCCCTCCAAGAGATTCTGAAGGACAGTAAGATTTGACAATCATTGCTTTAGAATCTACATCTATAAAGCCTCCAGATAAGTCTTGCTACATCAACATCAAAATCAAAAGCACTGCCATTGAGTCGATTCTGACTCCTAGTGACCCCCAGCAGGTTTCCAAGACTGTAAATCTTTACAGAAGTAGATTGATTGCTTCAATTTCCTCCCGTGGAGTGGCTGGTGGGTTTGAACCAACTACCTTTTGGTTAGCAGCCCAATGCCTTAACTACAGAGCCACCAGACCTCCTTATGTCATCACCATGTATATGCATATTTTGAAGTTTCATGGAAAGTAATAGACATTTTAAAGATAAGAATTATTGACTGGATAATTTAAAATTTCATTCAATTTTCTTTTTTTTTTATTAAAAACGTTATTGTATTTAAAGTTTTATAGAATATAATGAATCAGCTTTCAGGACATTTAGCGTAGTAATTTTAGAAGAATTGAGAAGCAACAGTGATCTAAATAGTACAGGATCATCAAGTAAAGATCCAGGACAGATGCTTTTAATAGAACAGTTACCTTACAAGAAAAACAAACAAACAAACAAAAAAAAAAAACACCTCACTGCTATCGAGTTGCTTCCGACTCATAGCGACCCCTCCTTGGTTTTCCGAGGGAGGCTGTATCTCTACAAAAGTAAATAGTCCAGTCTTCCTTCCGAGGAGTGGCTAGTGGGCTTGAACCACTAGCCATCTGTTTAGAAGTCAAATGCCTTAGGCAGTTAGCCACCAGAGCTCCCAACCTACAAGGTACTCTAAAACTATAAATTATTCAGTTTCCTGGCAATGAATTGGGTAAAGAGGCATGGCATTCTGTTAATGCTTATCTCTCCACTCTTTGACTTACCAGTCAGGCATTTCCCATTAAGAATATTTACTATGAAAGATCAATCATCAAAAAGTTGTTGCTAGTCTCCCTCTATTTATGCCAGTACTTTCAGTGTTGTGCTTATGTTTCATTAGTAACAATTGGAGAGATAATATTGTCTTTAGTACAAATTACTTGGTAATGGGGAAAAAAAGAAACAAATTTATCTTTCTGGTGTTGATTTGTGTAGTAGAAACCTTTTGGAATTCTTGCTCAATTCCTTTGTAAGAAATGTCTTCCTCACCCACAGAGGTGAAGATAGCAGGCATGTTTGTCCAAATCTGTGGGCAAAATTAATTGAGTAAGATGAACACCTGGCTCAAGGAGCTCCAATTTGTAGCTTTGTTGTAGGTTCAACCCATTCCCGGAATCTCGGATAGAGAGATCATTTTAGAATTGGGAATAATGTGGCCATTTGTTTCCTAAAAGACAGAAGCTCAGGCTGCAAGGGGAAATAGATACATGTAGAGAGGAAAACAGAAAGAAGATATTTAGTCCCAGAGTATCTTTGGCTCTCACCTTGCAGCTTTTAGCTGCAGTCATTCATAAGATGTGGCTGTCCTTTCATTCTCAGAGTCTGTTTGTTTCCTATTGTTGCTATAATAAATTGCTGCAAAGCATGTGACAGCAAAAATGTATTCTTTAACAAAAATTAAGGTCAGAATTCTAAAATGAGTCTAATGGAACCAGCCCTGTTCCTTTTGGAGGCCTTAGGAGCAATCTGTTCCTTGGTTTCTCTAGCTTCTGGTGGCTGCTTGCGTTATTTGACTTATAGCTGCATTGCTCCAATCTCTGCTTGTTTTGTCACATTGCCTTCTTCTGTCCTGTAGTCAAATCTCCCTCTATCTCTAAATAAGAACACTTTGATCATATTTAGGGTCCATTACATTTGGGACAATCACAGTAATTTCCCCTATCTCCAGATCTTCAGTTAATCATGTCTATAAAATTCCTTTTGCCATGGTATGTGGTATAGTGGTAAGCATTCAGCTGGTAACTGAAAGATAGGCAATTTGAACCCATCAGCCACTCCATGGGAGAAAGATGGGGCATCCTGCTTTGGTAAAGATTTTAACCTTAGAAACACTTTGGAGCAGTTCTACTCCCTGCTATAGGTTTGCTATGAGTCAGAATCAACTCAACAGCAATGGGTTGGTTTTGGCCATGTCAGGTGTCAGTCACAGATTTCAGGGTCCATGACCTGGTTATCTGTAAAACTCAAGACTCGCTGCCTTCGAGTTGATTCCAGCTCATAGCAACCCTCATTGGGTTTTCCAGGCAGAAAATCTTTACAGAAGTTTATTGCCCAGTCTTCCTTCCACAGAGCAGCTCATAAGTTTGAATCACCAGTCTTCTGGTTAGCAGTCAAATGCCTTAGGCACTACACCATCAGAGATCCTTTGGTTATCTCTAGGGTCCATTATTCAGCCTACCACACTAGGTTCCATGAAAACACTATGCATTTCTGGTACAGTGTCCTCTTGGTTTTCACTGGTTTGAATGAATTCTATTCCACACAACCAAACAATTCCTTATTTCAAATACTTCATTATCCATCGAATCATTCCAAAAGGTTTATGTCACCATTATTCTTTGATAAGCAGTGTGTCTTCCTTAGAAATGCCTGTTCTGCTCACAGCAAATCACACAAGGCTCTTAAACTGCTGATTTTTTAAAAAACACTTTATTGATTGTAACTAACGATCACCAAGACATTGTATTGGAATTTTATTTCAATAGAAAGCATCCATTTGTGATAATTTGAGAGCACATACCTTTCTCATTACATATTAAAACTTTTAAATATAAAGTTTTATACATATCATGTCAGCCCTTAATACTTCTGAAATGGACAAATACCTGGGGGTAATTTTCAGAGACCTGGTGCATTTGTTATTTATTCATGATTCTAATCTCTTATATCGGAAGGAAGGTTGGGCAATCCTACTTCCGTAGTGATACTGCCTCAGAAACCCAAGGAGGGGTCGCTATGAGTCAGGTTTGACTCGACCGCACATAACAACAACAACAACAATCTCTTATAAATATTCCTATACCACATGAAAAACACAGTAAAAACAATAAAAATGATAGGAAATAATTATTTCAAATATTTTTATAGAAAAAGGATGTCATTTGATGGAAGTAATCAAGTTGTTGTTATCAGCCATTGAGTCAGACCTGACTCATAGCAACCCCCCTTGGGTTTCTGGGGCAGTATCATTACGGAAGAAGATTGCCCAACCTTCCTTCCGAGGAGTGGCTGGTGGGTTTGAACCACCAGCTTTCTGGTTAGCAGTCAAGTGCCTTAGGCACCACGCTACCAGAGCTCCTGGAAGTTATATCATTTACTTTCAACACATCACTTAATTGACACAACATTCACTTTTTAAAATGTTAACTTTATTTTTTATTACTTTTGAAAACATATGTTGCCTACACAGGTGTAGGTCCCTGAGTATAGCAAAAGATTGAAATGATTGACTACTAACCAAAAGGTTGGTCATTCAAACCCACCTTGAGGGTCTTTGGAAGACAGGCCTGGCGATCTGTCATGGCCTTGAAACCCTTCAGAGTATTTCTATTCTGCATGCCTCTGGTCTCCATAAGTCAAAACCAACTTGACAGAAACCACCACCAATAGCAACATAGGATTAGTATCAGAGTGCCAAAGACAATGACTTCATCACCATAAAACTCCTGACTATCATATGAAGTCTTAGATTTGTAGATACAAAGCTATCCCCACTGAAAAACAATACTGTTGAACACATTGTAAACCACAGTGCATCTTTTCAGGAAAAAGAAGTGTGAAAACTCATACTAAATAATACTCATCATAAAGTGAGATTAGCCCACTTTGACCAAAAAAATAAATCTTGTGAATTATTTATGGGTAGAAGTTTGCAGGCAAATATAAGCACTGGTTTCATGTGTCCATTTTTGCCATTCCATTTAGTTTTATCTAGTTCTCAGGAATGGCAGTTGATGGGGAGTTTGATTTAGTGTGGAGATTAGTAACAAGGTATGTTTTTCCATACAGACTTGCTTCTCTGCTAGGCAGCTGGTGGAGATATTTTTACAGAACAGCCATTCACCCATTTCTAAGGAGGACTTTAAGCAAATGAGTCCAGCAATCATCCAGCAACTTCTCAGCTGCTCTTGTCAGCTGCCCAAGGACCAACAAGTAAAGCCACCACCCAGCACTCTGGAGAGTAAGTTTTGTTTCTTCAGGGTGAGGTTTGATACTATATTATTCTCTCAGAACACAAAGTGCCAAAATATACAGTGTATGTAATAATAATGGTGAACACAGAATACTTATGACATATCACATACAGTTCTAAGCATTTTATATTCATCAACTCATTTACTCCTCACAACAATTGCTGTGAGTGAGATATTATGATTATCCCTATTTTGCACATGAGGAAATTGAGGCACAGACATGACTTGCATGAAGACATATATGTGATAAGTGATGGAGTTGGAGATTCAAACCCCAGAAAACTAGCCCGAGTCCTTGTTTTTAAATCTTTATACTATATTTTCAATTAATATTTTATATTTTGCATATAATTTATATAAGTTGATTTAGTTCCCTATATCTACCTCAATCACGGTCTAACTTAAAAGTCCATAACTGAGAAGTGGCATGGCATAAAAGAAAGAACATTAACAGTGGAATTAGAAAGTTGGGTTAAGTCATAACTCCTATTGTTGTTGTTGTATGTGCCTTCGAGTCGGCCCCGAGGCATCGCGACCCCTCCTTGAATTTCCAAGGCGATATCACTATGGAAGTAGATTGTACAAACTTCCTTCCGAGGAGTGGCTTGGTGGGACTGAACCACCAGCCTTCTCGTTAGCAGTCAAGCACCTTAGGCACTATGCTACCAGAGCTCCCAGTCATAACTCCTATCACTAGCCAATTCCATGATCTTAAGCAATCCCTTTATTTCCCTGAGCCAGTCTCTTTTTTCCACACAGTGATATCCTACAGGGCTTTCCATCATTTCATATGTCATGGGATGCATAGAAAGACATATTGGGGTAACCTGAAGAGGCTACTCTGGAATGGAGGTGACCAGCCTCCCAGGCCCAGATGGCAGTCCCAAGAAGTGAAGGGGTCAATATTTGCAGTTTGTCTGTATCCCATGAGACACTACACTGGGTGAGCTCTACCCTAAGATGTCACAGGATATTTGCGGGCTTCAAATGGAATAATGTGTACAAAAATGTGTTCTAAAAAGTTTAAACACTATACGTTTCGAAGACAAAAAAAAAAAAAAAAAAAACCTTGACTCGAGAACATCCAATATGCACATTAAACATGTGACAGTTAACACATGCTACTCTTAAAGCATTATTGTTGATCTGAGGCCTTATATATTTCTTTTCAGATCTTTTTTTTCTCTTTGAGATAGTTTGCAATGTCTGCCAGTTGCTGAACCATTCAGAGACTCATGTCTGACTTACACTGGATCCTGCAGCATCAAGTGATTCACTTGAAGATTTTATGTGGACACAATCATACCAGATGTAAATTTTTTAAGACTCAACATTCACCAAAAGGAGAAAAAAAAACCTTCATTAAAATAGAGCAGCTAAATAATTCAGCAGCTGGTGGTCAGTAATGGCTCACAATGTGAATGAGGATGACCGGACTGTGGCATCTGTGAGCTTCTAAGGGCATGTTTATATTTTCACCACCTGGCGTAGTGACTGGTGCTGGAAGAAAGGTTTTTGAACAAAAGATCCATGAAGAAATTTTACCCCCTTCCTAATTTATTTCTAGACCCTTCCTGAGAAAAACCCAGAAAAGTTGCCCTCACTAAAGGACCTAGAAAAACGTTGTTGTTACGCACCACCAAGTCGGTTCTGACTCACAGTGAAACCAAAAAGAAATATTGCCTGGTCCTGCACCATCCTCACAATCATTGCTATGCTTGAACCCATCATTGCAGCCACTGTGTCAATCCATCTTGTTGGGGGTCTTCCCCTTTTTAGCTGGCCCTCTACTTTAACAAGCATGATATCATTCTCCATGGACTGGTTCCTTAGGATAACATGACCAAAGTACTAGTGACGAAATCTGGCCGTTCTCGCTTCTAAGGAGCATTCCGGCTATACTTATTCCAAGAAAGATTTGTTCCTTCTTCTGGCAGTCCATTGTATTTTCAATATTCTTCACTAACACCATAATTCAAGTGCATTTGGTTTAGAAAAAAACATTCCTGTTCTAAATTTAAAATCTTTCATTATGTCATTAAAGGGATAGGTTTGTATTGGCCTTTTGAAATTACAGAAATGTGGGATATTAAATTAAAGAGGACCCAGGGAGACATTTTTAAGAAAATATTGTGCAATATGATGAAACTCAACCTTTAAGCACCACCTTCAATTGTGCTTCCAGGAAAAACTATTTAGGTCATGCAAAAATCAAATTTCAGATGGCTTCTAAGTAGCAGTTCATGAGTAGCTAAGAATTTAATATGATGGTCAAGTTCTATTTTAAGGATATGAAATATTTACAGAGAACCTGTCTGCAAGATGCCTGACTGTCACCAAGACACCCTGGCACCTATGTAGGGAACTGGGGTATATTAACCAAGTCCTGTGGGAGCTCTGGTGGTGTAGTGCCTAAAGCATTTGACTGCTAATCAGAGGGCTGGTGGTTCAAACCCACCAGCCACTCCTCAGAAAGAAGGTTGGGCAATCTACTTCCATAGTAATACCACCTCGGAAACCCAAAGAGGGGTTGCTAGGAGTTGGATCCGACTTGAATGCAGTGAGTTGAGATGGTTATTAAATGAGCCCCAGTGGTACAATGGTTAAATGTGTGGCTCCTAACGTAGTGGTCAGCTGTTTGAACCCACCTAGCAACTCTGCATGAGAAAGACCTGGCAATCTGCTTCCATACAGATTACAGCTGAGAAAACCCTATGGTGCAGTTCTACTCTGTCCTACAGGACTGCTGTGAGTCAAAGTCGGCTCGACGGCACACAACAACACACATACACAGCCACAAAAGTCAGAGCTTTTACTGGTATGGAGATGTCATTCCCACATGAGAGCATGCTAAACCTGACTCACAGAAAACCTGAAAAGGTTTTACAAGATCTGAAATTATGAAACTTTAATCCGTCTGCAATAACACCCTGTAGCTGCCCACATAACAAAGGGGAGAGAAGTAGGAAAAGAACTGAAAAAACTAGAACTTTGCCTTCTGCCTGAGAAATCCTCAGATCCTAACATTTACTTGTGAGTTCTTGACTTTTTATTATTTTTTGTAGATACTCATACAAATATGACAAATTTGAACTTTATTAGACATAGAGGTGCTCATGGCAAATATCTTTAATTTGTTTGTTCAATGTGAAGATATTCTCACTAGAGTCTATTTGGGTAAGAATGGGGCCTGGAACTTGGTTGAAGATTTGTATAGATGTTTTGATAACTTAGGTATTTTATTAAATTAGAACAAAGTTAAACCATGCAAACATATGACCATAAGAAATGAAATTTGAAAGTCTTTTGCATCCTCTGAGCTCATTACATACTACATTTTGTATAATTTAAACCATTATCGTAACAAAGGACCTCCTAAAATTGCAAGCCTATTACCATGTTTCTTATAATATCATTCATATGATCTAATGCAAAGGGTGAACCTTCCAACAAGTACAAGAATAGTGAGAAGACCATTATCTATAAGAACAAGCTTAAAAACAATAATTCCATAAAAACTGCAATGGGCTTTAAGTATTATAATAACTGAATTATTTAATTTAATTTATATTTATCTGTAGTTACTAAAGGAAATGATCATTTAATTTTGTAATTATCTTCCTGTGGTAGTTAAGGTTATGTGTGAACTTCGATGGGCTGCGGTTTTGAGTGGCTGGGCAGCTGGATGTATTCTCCATGATGAGATTGTAATCACCTCCATAATGGAATCTGCTGTGAGAAGCTAAGCAGTTGCCTTCAGGGTGTGGTCTGCTTCTTGTATTTAAGGAGAAGCTTTGGGAAAGGTCTCAAGTTTTTGACACATCTGAATCCTGCATCTGGCTGTCTTCATCTCAGTGGCCTGCTATATTGCCTGCCAATCTTAGGATTGTTCCTGAACTTGGGACAGTGGTCTGTCATGTTGCCTTTTGATCTTGGAATTGTGCCATTCTGCTTGTTGACCTTAGGTTTGTCAGCCTCAGCAGCCAGAAGTTGCATGAGTTACAAGAAGCCTCCAGCCCCAGTGGGGCTGGAAAAAGGCAGGCAGAGCTGGAGCTGAGGTCAAGGGGCCTTCATCTAGTCCCTAGAGCCAGCACTTTGCACATGGACTTGTAGCCTCTTGAACTATAACAGAATAAATTCCTGTTTGTTACAGCATTTCACTTGTGATATTTCTGTTACAGCAGCACTAGAGAACACTTTCCTAATAAAACAAACCAGTTCTTCATGACTTGTTAGTGATTTTTAAGTAAGTGGAAAACAGGGTATTTGCTCTGATATATCTAATGAAGGGAAAATGATGATATTGATATCCCTTTTAGCTCCATATCATTTATATTCCTAACCAAAACGTTGGTGGTTCAACCCACCCAGATACTCTTTGGAAGAAAGGCCTGTGATTTGCTTTGAAAAGTCACAGCCTTGAAAACCTTATGGAACATTTCTCCTCTGTACACATGGGGTTATCATGAATCAGAATCAGCTCCATGGCAACTGGTGTTAGCTATTGCAATAAGATGTTGTCTTCCTCAGACAGTTTCACTAATGATTTTCAAATAAGTGGAAAACGTATTTTTTTTGTTTTGTTTTTTGTTTTAATAGCTTTTTATTGTGATTTGGGTGAACATTTACAGAGCAAATGGGTTTTCCATTCATCAATTCATATATATTTTGTTTTGCAACATTGATTATAATTCCCACAATGTAACAGTACTCTTCCTACTTCCTCTCTGTGCTTATCATTTTCACTTGTCCTTCTTTTCTATCCCTTAGGGCTTCTGTGCTTTATTCCTGGGCAAATGCTGTCCTTTTGACCTCAAATGGTTAATTGTTCTGAAAGCACCCCACTGATGTTATTGTTTACCTTATAGGCCTATCTATTGTTTGGCTGAAAGTTGACCACATGGGTGAGTTCATTTGGAAGCTTGAAGGGTGGGTCTAAGGACCATAGTCTCAGGAACTCCACCAGTCTCCATCAGACCAGTAAGCCTGGTCTTTTTACTTTTTTATGATTTTGAGTTTTGCTCTACATTTTTCTCCCACTCTATTGGGCACTTCCTATTGTGATTCCTTTCAGAATGGTCAGCAATGGTAGGCAGTCCTCATCTAGTTCTTTTGGTCTCAGGGTTGTAGAGGCTGGGGTTCACAAGGTCCATTAGGCTTTTGAACTAATTGTTTTCTTGTAGCTCTGATTTTCTTCACTCTTCTTTGCTCCTCACAAAGAGAGACCAATAGTTGCACCTTAGGTGGCTCCTCACTAGCTTTTAAGATTCCAGGGACTACTCACCAAAGTTGGATGTAGAACATTTTCTTTGTGAACTATGTTGTGTCAATTGACCTTGATGCCCTCCAGACTATGGTCCTAAACTCCTATGCACAGTGACTCATTCCCTCATGGTGTTTGGTTATGGCTAAGAACTTTTCATAATTTTGTTCCCTGTATGCTCTATTATATTTATGGTTATTGTGGTAGTTAAGGTTATGTGTCAACTTGGCTGGACCTGGTTTTGAGTGGCTGGGCAGCTGGTTATAGTTATTCCCCATGATGAGACTGCCAATCAACTCCATGGTGGAATCTGCCACAAGCAACTGAGTAGCTGCTTTAGGGATCTGGTTTGCTTCCAGTATATAATGAGAAGCTTTGAGAAAGGTCTTTCCAGCTTTTTGGCACATTTGGACCCTATGTGTAGCTGCTTCATTTTGTAGCCTGCCGTGTTTCCTGCCAATGTTGGATTGTCTCTAGACTTGAACTAGTGGCCTCCTGTGTTGTTTGGTAACATTGGGACTGGGTCATTTAATTTGTTGCCATTGGGCTTGTTAACCTCAGCAGCCAGCAGCTGCCTGAGTGAAGAGATGCCTCTAGCTCCATTGGGCTGGAAGGAAGGGGCAGAGCTGAAGCCCAAGGTGGAAGGGCTTTGACACAGCCCCTCGAGCTTGGCACTTAGAACTCAGACTTCTAGCCTCCAAAACTGTGACAGAATAAACTCCTGTTTGTTAAAGCCATCCCACTTGTGGGTATTTCTGTTAGAGAAGCACAAGAAGACCAGAACAGTTATATTTGCAGCATATGTAAATACATATGTAGAAATAGCCTCCATCAAACCTATGTGTATTTGTGGGTGTAGTTCCATTTACCTTTCCACACCAAAACAGTGCTTTCTTTTTCTTTAATATGTTTGAATGTAATTAGATGGAAATCATTACAAATGTATATGTCACTGGATCTTGTAGTTTAATGTTAGAGAAATTGTATTTCTTTCAGGATGAGGAAGTGACCTGGGGTTCTTTTGAGCTGTGTATTTTCTTGCTACAATAATTTTTAGTAGAAGTCACAGGATTATTAGTGAAAGCCTATTCCTTCTTTTTCTTAAAAAGAAAAGATAAAAGGTTAGCCGCCTGCTAACCAGACGGCTGGCGGTTCAAACCCACCAGCCACTCCTCGGAAGGAAGGTTGGGCAATCCTACTTCCGTAGTGATACTGCCTCGGAAACCCAAGGAGGGGTCGCTATGAGTCGGGTTTGACTCGACGGCACATAACAACAACAACAACAACAAATATAAAAGTTGAAAAATATTCTATATCCTTATTAGCTGTTATAGGAGCTCTGATGGCATAGTGCCTAAGGCATTTGATTGCTAGCCAGAAGTCTGGAGGTTCAAACCCACCTGCCACTCCTCAGAAGGAAGATTGGGCAACCTACTTCTGTAGTGATACCATCTTGGAAACCCAAGGAGGGGTCTCTATGAGTCAAATTGTCTCAATGGCAGTGAGTTTGGTTTGGCTTTTGGTTATTAGCTGTTAAGAGTTTCTGGGTAGGGCAAATGGTTAAATGCTTGACTATTGACCAAAAGGTGGCAGTTCCTCAGAAGAAGGGCCTGGAGATCTGCTTTTTATAGGCCACAATCTTGAAAATCCTAGGAAGTGTGGTTCTCCTCCACACATATGGGGTCACCAGGAGTCAGAATCGATTCCATGGTAACTAGTACTAACAGTTATAGTGAGGCACATTACTCTGACAGATTCACTAGTTAAGGCATTAATGGAGGATGACAAACATTAACAGCTTTTATAATCTGCCTTTATTTTAGAATACGGCTATAGCACAGTGGCTGTGACACTCATCACATTGGGCTCCATGCTTGGGACAATGCTGATCCTTTTCAACAGCTGTGAAGAGAACTACAGGCTTATTTTACAGCTGTTTGTGGGCTTGGCTGTTGGGACACTTTCTGGGGATGCTCTGCTCCACCTTATCCCTCAGGTAACCTGCTGTTTTCCATTTCAAATGAAATGTTTCTAATTTCTCCTCATATTTAGCCACTGGAGGTATTTATGCAAATTTTAACAACAACTTTGATGAATAAATACAGCAGCTGGTGCTCTCCTTGAAAATAAATATTATTTCCCCAAACCTCTCTGCACTTATAGGAGAGAAGAGATGATGAGATATTAGGCCTACCACATGTTACTATTTTTTAAATAAAACATGGTGAACTGATACAGAGTCCTATTAAGGACTTTATATTAAATTCAGGAAGCATATATTATTTGGGAGGCAGTGTTCTTTCAGGGGTAGAGTTCTCCCTTTCCATTTGGGAGACCAAGGTTCGATTCCCAGTCAACACACCTCAAGCACACCCACCACCCGTCTTTCAGTGGATGCTTGTGTGTTGCTATAATGCTGAACAGATTTCAGTAGAGCTTCCAGACTAAGGTAGACTAGGAAGAAAGGCCTGGTGATCTACTTCTCAAAATTAGTCTATGAAATTCCTATGGATCACAATCATGGGGATACCACAGAACTGAAAATGTTTTCTTCCCTTGTGCACAGGGTCACCATGAGTTGGCAGGCCAACTAGATGGCAGCTAAAAGCAATGACATACTAATTATCAATAAATAAAAAGATTAGTCTATGAGACATTGTGCCAGTTATTCTCCAACTTCACCACCTCCCTCATCAGATCTATTCTTTGCCCTTCTCTGTACTCTTTCTGCCCCAGAAGTTTAGCCTTTAATGATTACATCTCTGCAGAACTCTCACAGGCTAGGTTTTTGCTTTGATTCAATCCGTAGACAGCACAACAGAAAACCCCGGGGAGGAGGAGAGAACGGCAGGGGTATTTCTTTCCCCCTCACCCCTAGCTTTGGCACCTGCCTCTAGAAGTAGCTCATTGCCTCCTTCGCTATAGCTCCCATGGGAGACCTCTCCTTCCCAGCTTCAGCTCTCACTGGGTCCCAGGCACATTATTTCCTCCCTTTGCCCTTTCATCCTGAGGGTGGTAATGCTTTTCTGGGCTTGCTAGTCTCTGGATGCCTCGTTATCCCTCCTTTACCCTGCCCACTTCTCTGTAATGGTCCAGTTATTAAAGTCTCTTCACTTGAACTACCTAAATGGATTTTCTTTCCAGCCTGACTAAGAATGTTGAGATTTCCCTTAAGAAAAATGTAAGCATGAACTTCCATTGCCCATCAACAGAAGAATGGATAACCAAACTGTGGTACATATACACAAAGGAATACTATGCAACACTAAAGAGTAATGTAGAATCTGTAGAATACTGCATAATGTGGATGAACTTGGAGGACATTATGCTGAGTGAAATAAATCAATCACAGAAGAACAAATATTAGTTCATTATTGAAAGAAAGCAAGGAAACGTTTATATATGAAAGGAAACTTTATTAGTTGGTGGGAGGGGAGGGGAAGGAACATTGAAAAAAAAATTCTTAAAAAAAAAAAATGTAAGGACCAAGAAGGTGGCCTTTTACTAAAGTCTTCTGAGGTTTTTTATTTATCAGAAATGAAAGGCTTAAGGTGTGAGGTGCAGAGGGTCTTTAGATGAGGTTATCTTTTCCCCATGAAATCTCTTACTATGAATAACAACAATGAGCAAATGATTTCCCCCCTCACAAAGCCTGAGATGTTAAAATTTTCCACAAGCCTCTGGCAACTTTCTTCAGGTCACTCTTACTGCTCAGATGCTCAATATTTATTGGATGTTCTGCAATCACAAAGTGAGCACTGGAGAACTAAAACAAACCATTTATTAGTTTTAATTTTTCTCATAATCTAATTTTCTGGAAATGTTTTAGGGCTTTATTGGCTTGAGGTAATAGTAGAGGCATTTTCTAGGTCACCGTTGTGGTTGGGGAGCTGTACATGCCCAGGGTCCTGGGAAATAGCAAAAGGTTCCTGAGTCTCCCCAGATGGAAGACCATGCAGCTGTGGGGGTGGAGGGAGGAGACTGGTGTGGATGGGGTTGTCAGCTGGCATTGCACAAATACTTTACTTAGATGAACCTAAATTATCTGGGCTTCCTGGTATCTAGAAGGCAGTGTTTTTACTAGAGAAAAGAGATAAGAAAAAAAGATAATAGAAAAAGGAAGGAAGACGCACCACAGTGAGGGAAAAGTATGATGGAGAGCTTGATCTCCATCATGGTTCCTGAATGTTGTCCATGGGAAGGTTTCAAAGGTCTAACAAAAATGAAGAAATGATCACTGTCATTAACTAAATTTATGTAACTTAAAAGTCTATATTTTATTCTGAGATTTCAGGTTTTCTGTTTATTTTTTTAACATTTTGTTTTGTTTCTGATATTACAATGTCCTCTATTTTATGTAATAATGGTAATCAAAAATTAGGTGGCTTTCTTTTAATGTCCTATCAAAAGAGAAAGTTGACTAACATATTGGTTTTTAGTTATATCCATATCCATGTACTCATATGCAAATATATATACCCACATATATGCTTACTTGTAAACATAAAGACCAACATATTTATTTTATGAGCATATATACAAAATATACACATATAATTTCTTTGGTTTTTGTTTGTGATTTCCCGATCAGTAACATCCCAAATCTGGAAACCACCAAGCTATTTCACAAATTGTCTTCTCCTGGGTAGGTGATACGTTACATACGATTTACTAGCTCACAAGAAATCATGAGGTCAATCAACACAATGAATCAAATAGATGAAAATTCCTCATGCATATCTTTGTGTATCTGTCTGTAGCCCAGACAACTAACAATATTGATGATAATATAGTATGCACTCATTGGCATGCACCATGCATTTACTATGCATTCAGTGGAGAAAGTCTTGTGATTTGCTGATTATCTGAATATTAAAGTTTGCTTTATTTGCAGTGGGGTGAGGAGAATTAGCCACAGATGAAATAGATCTTTGTTGTTCAAAATATAAAGTATGTTCCTTTAATGTAGTGCATGGCTTTGTGCTATGGGATATGGATTGAACTCTGGAAAAAAAAAAAAATCAGCTGAAGGAGTGAAAGAATGAGAATCTAGGTCACTTGCTGAAATAAAGCTTACACTTCATTTTATTCACTAACCCAAGTTGTTCAAAGCTTTCCTTATTTCCTATTGCACGCATTGTATTTGACTCTGATTAAGCCATACAGTGGAAGCATTCACATACTCAGAAGCAAACTGGGCTTTGAATGATTTCAGGAATAGTCAGGGGCATCTCCAGCATAAATGTTGTATTTATTCAATGTGATCTACTTACTGTTTGTTTGTTTTTTATTGTTGCTTTTTTTTTTTTTTTAAGATTCTTGGTTTATATAAGCATGAAGCCTCAGAATTTGGACATTTCCACGAAAACAAGGGTCATATTTGGAAACTATTGGGATTAATTGGAGGCATCCATGGCTTTTTCTTAATAGAAAAATGTTTTATTCTTCTTGTGTCATCAAATGGCAAGGTATATTTAAATTTTACTTATCTTTTGCTTTGTTGTTGTTGTTATGTGCTGTCGAGTCGGCCCCGACTTACAGAGACCTCTCCTTAGGTTTCCAAGGGGGTATCACTTACGGAAGTAGATTGCCCAACCTTCCTTACGAGGAATGGATTTAGGATTTATAATAATCTTTTATTTCAAAAGACTGTCTTCAAAAGTAATTGACATCTTCATGAAGTTGTCTGATTAAGGGATAGAATTCTGTTTTCTAGAATGCTCAGATCAACCTCACTGGCAAGTTCCTCTTAATTCGGCTGTTTTTTTTTTTTTTTTTTAAAGAAAAAAAATGATGCTGGCCACTTAATGTAATTGTAACCACCTGCCATTTGGCCTCCAAATGGTTCAGAAGCAGGAGATTTTCACATGTCATGGCCAACGCCTGGCTCCTATTCAGAGATTTGAATGTCCTTCTTAACAAAACAAAGAGGGAAAAAAAACCTTGAAAGTTCACAAAATTACATGTCATTTTCTATCTTAGGGGCATTTAAATGATAAATATGAGAAGTCCAAGAATAGATTTTCAACACATCTTTTTTCATCTTGAGTTATTTTTTTTGCTGTGCTGTATTTGATAAATTACGTATCTCATGAAAAGTGGAAAGAACAACATATTTAGTCATGAAGTCATATTTTAAAGATAATTATGTTAACATGATGGTTTATTATGGATCACTTTTTCTTTGCTCTTTCACATTATAGTATACGAAAAATAAACTGATTCTAGAAGATTAGAATAAAATAAAAATTCCTCCCAAAGTCCTTGAATCCCGTAGCTCTGCACTCCTGCATGGGTTTCTAATTATTCCCTAGCTCTATATCTGCTTATATGAGAAGGAGAAACCAAGATGTATAGCACCTGTGCGAATCCAAAAACAAAAAACAACAAAAAACCCCAACCTCATGCCGTGGAGTCGATCTCAACTCATAACGACCCCTCCTTGGGTTTCCAAGGTGGTATCTCTACGGGAGTAGATTGCCCAGTCTTCCTTTTGAGGAGTGGCTGGTGGGTTTGAACTACCAGCCTTCTGATTAACAGTCAAATACTTTACGCACTACACCACCAGAGCTCCCGTGGCAAATATCAATATTAACCCTTTAAAATATCAACTTTAGAAAAAGAAAATTATTATCCCAAATTTACCTTAGATTCTATTTTATGCATCAAAAAATAAGATTGATGGATGGATAAGAGCATAATAGATGGATAGATATGTGATAAGTAAACTGTTATGGTAGCATCTAGGAATTGGTTATATGAAAATTCATCCTAAAATTATTTCAACTTTTTGGTATGTTTGCAAATCTTCATAGTTAAATCTTATAAAATGTTTCTATTTCAACAAAGTAGGCTTGTTCTTTGGCCTAAAACTCAAGCTAAAATCTATAGAAAGTTTGGAAATTAGAAATGTGGGTTCTATTACAGTACTTACCCTTAATATTTAGGAACTTAATATCCACAAAAGAATTTTAATCTCAGTATGCATAAACAACAAATAAATCCCCATTTGTACACAATAGATTATTATTCCTGGCCTGGGAAACCAAAGTAGAAAGCCAACACATCTGCCTATGCATAAATATTAAAAATTTAACCATGATGGAAATGATGAAAGACATTCTGAACACTGAAAACTGTAGAATTTATTAAGATTTCACTTGTGGTTTTGAGGAACTGAAAATAAGTTTTTTTTTTTTTTTTTTTTTTTATTTTTTTTTTTTTTTTTTATAGGATTTGGGTGAAGATTTACAGAGTAAATTCACTTTTCATACAGCAGTTCACATATACTTTGTCTCATGTCATTGACCAAAATTTACAATGCAGCAGCTCCCCTCCCACTTCCTCCCCATAGTTACCTCCTCCCAGTGTCCATCCCTTCATACTCTTCGAGAGGCCCATTTTCTGCCAACCCTGTATATGATCTTGGATACACTCTCCATTTAGACATACATAATTGTTTAGCTTGTTCACCCATCTATCCGTCCCTATACCCATATTTGCTTTCATTAACAACTCAGTATTGTATTTACAAAGGGGTTCATATTTGTTGTTTGTAATGCCCATGTAACTCTCTCTGTCTTTCTCATCCTCAATGCTGCCATATTGGTCACTCACATTTGGTACATTGCCCTTCTCTTCACCCAAATCAATATTTATCTCTATCTATCTAACAGCATTCCCTCCCCTTCCCTCCCACCCCTGGTAACCAACAAAGAAAATGTCCTCCAATATATAAACATTTCCTTAACTTTTACAATAACGGACTAATACAATATTTGTCCTTTTGTGACTGACTTATTTCGCTCAGCATAATGTCCTCCAAGTTCATCCACGTTATGCGGTGTTCTGCAGATTCTACATTATTCTTTAGCGTTGCATAGTATTCCATTGTGTGAATGTACCAAAGTTTGGTTATCCATTCCTCAGTTGTTGGACATCTAGGTTGTTTCCAAGTTTTGGCTATTGTAAATAGTGCTGCGATGAACATCGGCGTGCATATATCTGTTCTTGTCATGGCTCTCACTTCTTTAGGGTATATACCTAGTAATGGGATGGCTGGGTCAAATGGTATTTGTATTTCCAACTTTTGAAAATAAGTTTTTAACAATATAATTTCAAGATTCATGATATGTGTAAAGTAAAATGAATATGAATGTTTTATTACATACAGTGCTTTAATTGATGAATATATTTCTGGAGCTATTATTTTAATAGTGATAGTGTGAAATACAGTCTCGATTGTTTTCATTTTAGTAACTCAGTGATAAAGAATACAAATTTTAATTTTGTAATAAATATAAATTTTTCAGTAAATATAATTTTTATTATCTTGAAGACATAGAATACTACCATTTGTTAAACCTCTTTTAAAAATAGCTACACATTTTTTGAAATTGAATTCTTAAATTTTTCTGGTTACGCATGATGTTTCAAAGCAAGTCTGGGCTTCCGCAAGATAAGCCATATTCACAAATATTTATCACAGTGAGATTTTCCCAGGTACTCTTTTAGTCCCTCCATCACTTGGGCCCTAGAGCAAATGCTAAATTGAATCATGGAATTGACAAAGGCTGCAACTATGGTATTCTGGCTTCAGCACTAATTGTAAACCATCCTCACCCAACAGGATGTGTCTTTGGTTAATGGACATGTGGGGCGTTCTCACCATCTTGTGCTGGACTCTGAGCTAAGTGACCAGTCAGGCAGAGGCCAATCTACTTCAACTATCCAGCTGGTAGGTTACTGATCTGAAGCATTCTTCTGATTTGATTTTCTTCTTTCCCTTATTCCTTAATAAACAGAATAAAGTCAGTAGCACAGACAAATAGAATGCACTCTTGATTTGCCTATTCTTGATCATGATAAATACTGTTTAGAAAGCTGTGTCAAGTATCTAAAAGTTGTTTTAAAAAGTAAAATGCATTTTTCATAGATTCAAATCACTGCTACCAGCACCAACTTGAAACATGTAATCATTAGATTGGCTGAATATACATAATCTTAATCATTTTGGTTATATGTTTTCATAAACCAGTTGACCTTCAGACTTTCCACTGTGTGATCCTTACCCAGGACTAGGTGGCATCAAGGAATTATTCAGTGCATCTAAGGATGGGGTGTTAATTTGAAAATGCAAAAGAGGACTGATTCTGTGCAAGGAAATGTTTCATAGCAAGTATCTTCTGCTGCACTAATTTTCCACTAAATTTCCCATATTAATTCTCAAAACACAACCTCTAATCAGGTTCATAATGATATTCCTATTCTAGTTTTTAAGGTACCTAACAACTAAAGGGAAAAAAAAATTAATATAACAGTAAAATTTTGTTAGAAAACTTGCCTCCTGTAACTTTGGCCTTGGAGTAAAGGGCTTACAGTTTAAAGACCAATTCTTAAATCTGAGTATCTATGAATAACCTTGGACATTAATATAGCAAAATAGAAGTCTGGCAGTAGATTTATACATCTAGAGCTAACTTGGAGAGATGTGAGGAAGAAACATTCCTTTAAAAAGTTATTTTAAAAGCCTTATTATGGTGGTGGGTTAGGTATTTTAAATGTCATCTGCAAGATGATAACTGTAGATTGGAATTAGTTTTAAAATCACTTTAATTCTGACTTCAGTTTGAATGAGGGGTCTACAGTCCTCATGATACATATGAGAACATCTCTGATGCTAATGAAATGAGCTTTGAACCATTTTAAGTCTCTAGCTTGCTAATACATTCACCATTCCTTTTGTTATTTAAGCTTCAAGTTCAACCTAAAGGAAAAAAAAACAAATGATATGAAATTTTAGGACTGCTTGGTGGATTCATTTGCAGTCTTTTTCGGGATAGGAGAAGTTGAAGGAGGGGAACTCACAATTCTTTCCAGTCATCAAGTTGTCTTGGATGTGTGCCTTTAAATTCCTTTACATTCTGTAGCAATATATAGCTTTTTTGGGGAAAAATAAAACAAGATTTGGAGTAAAAATTGGAATGCTTGTCTTTTAATGGAACTATAGAGGCTTTTGATTACAATCTGGAATGTAAGGCACGACATTGTTTTTCTCTGTTTCTAGATCTAACCACGTCAGGGCCTGCCTACCTCCTCTTCTCACCTGTCTTCTACAGCTCCCGACTTGAGTTTCCTCCAATTTCACAACCATCCTTTCCCAAAAATAGCCTTTCATTATATCATTATATCGAATAACTGCTGCTATGAAAACATGTGAACTTCATTTTATCTCTTTTACATGGCAAGAGATGCTATATCTCACAATAAATTTTTTCCCAAATTTTTACAATTTTGTTTGCTAGAAATATATGAATACTCTTTTAAAAGGACATGTTCAGTAGGCAGGTGAAAAGTATTATTTTCACATACTAGAGTAAGAATCTGAGGCAAGGAGACGGGGAGTGACGTCCCTGGAATTGAACTATGAGTCAGGCTCTGAATAGAATTACATGACCTTAACTCATAGGAACCAGCCTCAAACACTTCTCTGGCATATGAGAGAATCAAAAAAAAGAAATATTTTTTAACTATCATATTTGTCTTTTAAAAATCTGTTGATCTACTTTCTTAATTGGCAATATTCTGTTACTGATTGGCAATGCAACATAACAGAGTATTTATGCTACTATGACTGGAATGAGGTGTTGGGTTTGCATGGTTTCTTCTCCATCCAGAATACACCATCTGCTAAGGTCAGAAAACAAATTCCAGATCTGTGATCCACCCTACAGGAGTGGTGTCAAATTAGGTCAAGAATCTTTTTTTTTTTTTTTTTCCTGCAGATTAGAGTTTCATAAAGGCTTTCATCATTGAAGAGTCTGAACCACAGGCTGATTTGGACTCAAAGGAAGATTCTGAACTACAAAAGTGTTATGTTCATCTAAATGTAGATAGTGCAAAAAGCATGTTTTGCTCCCAAATGCTCTACTTCCTATGTTTGTATCTGTATTTAGAAGTTCTAGTAGTGCCTAAGGTCTTTGACTGCTAACCAGAGGCCTGGTGGTTCAAACCCACCAGCCACTCCTCAGAGGGTAGATTGGGCAATCTACTTCCATAGAGATACCACCTCATAAAACCCAAGAAGGGGTCGTTATGAGTTGGGACCGACTCGATGGCAGTGAGTTTTTTCTTTGTTTTAAAGGAGCCTCGGTGGTACAGTGGTCAAAGTGCTCTGCTGCCAATCAAAAGGTCAACAGTTAGAACTCACCAGCCACTCTTGAGAGAAAGATGTGGCGGTTGGTTTCCATAAAGACTGTTGTTGTTGTTGTTGTTGTTGTTATGTGCCATCGAGTCGGCCCCGACTCATAGCGACCCCTCCTTGGGTTTCCGAGGCAGTATCACTAAGGAAGTAGGATTGCCCAACCTTCCTTCCGAGGAGTGGCTGGTGGGTTCCATAAAGACTAGAGCCTTGGAAAACCAATGGGCCAGTTCTACTCTGTCCTGTAGGGTCTCTATAAGTTAGAATCAACTCCAGGCAGTGGGTTTGGTTTGGGATTTGGAATATACATCTAAGGATCTCTGATGGTGCAATGGTTAAGTACTTGGCTGCTAACCAAAAGTTCAGTGGTTTGAATCTACCAGTCACTATGTGGGAGAAAAATGTGGCAGTCTGCTTCTATAAAGATTGTCTGCAGTAGAATTTATTCCAACTCGTAGTGACTCAGTAGGATAGAAAAGAACTGCCTATAGGATTTTCTAGGTTGTAATCTTCATGGGAACAGATTGCCAGGTCTTTTGTCCAGCTGAGCTGCTTGGTGGGTTTGAACTGTAGACCTTTTGGTTAGCAGCCAAAGACTTCACCATTGCACCACCAGGCCTCTGCCCATAAATATCACTGTCTTATGGGGCAATTAACCAGAAGGCTGGTGGTTTAAACCTGCCAGCCACTCCTTGGAAGGAAGGTTGGGCAGTCTACTTCCGTAGGGATACCGCCTCAGAAATCCAAGGAGGGGTTGCTATGAGTCAGATCTGACTCCACAGCAGTGGTTGCATTTTTGTTGCATGGAGCAGTTCTGGGGATCTAGTGGTATAGTGGTTAATGTATTTGGCTGCTAACCAAAAATTCGGTGGTTTGAACCCACCAGCTGCTCTGCAGAAGAAGGATGAGGCAGTCTGCTTCTGTAAAGATTTACAGCCTTGGAAACCCAATAGGGGTCGTTATGAGTTGGAATCCACTCAATGGCAGTGAGTTTGCTTTTGGTTTGATGGGCCTGTTCTATGAGCTCTGGTGGTTTAGTGGTTAAGGCATTTGGCTGCTAACCAAGAAGTTGGTAGTTCAAACCCACTAGCTGCTCCACAGAGGAAAGAAGAAGCAGTCTGCTTCATAAATATTTATAGCCTGGTAAACCCAATGGGGCTGGCTGTGAGTTGGAATCAACTCGATGTCAGTGAGTTTCAGTTTGGGGCAGTTCTACTCTGTCCTAGAAGGTCTCTATGAGTCCAAATCGACTCAATGACAACATGTAATATACAGCTAGAGTACCAATATGACTTTTAAAATATTTTATAAGTCAACAAAATGATGACTAATGCTTATTTTTCATCAATTGTCTTTTTATTTTAAATAGAAAAGTCCAGAAGATTCACAAATGGCTGAAATTCCTTTAGGCAATCTGACAGCTTTCAACAGGAAATGTGAGTATTGTTTGTTTGTTTTTTTTAAAGCTACACTATAACTGGGAGCTCTGGTAGCATAGTGCCTAAGGCACTTGACTGCTCACCAGAAGGCTGGTGGTTCAAACCCACCAGCCACTTCTCGGAAGGAGGGTTGGGCAATCCTACTTCCATAGTGATACTGCCTCGGAAACCCAAGGAGGGGTCGCTATGAGTTGGGGCCGACTTGACGGCAAACAACAACAACAACAACAACAACACTATAACTGTAGAAAGTGACATAGAAAAATGTTAAGCCTACTTTAAAATAAATACATCAAAACTATATAGAGTATATATTAGGCATGTATATCATTGTTCAAACTTCATGATAATTTAATAAAAACTATTTTTATCATTTCTCAAATATAAGTCTGATTAGTATCAACTATTAACCAGTCTGTGGTTAATACTGACCATGAAAAATCATTCAACTGTATAGATCATAACAAATTATGGATAACATTGCAAAGCGGAATTCCACAGCACTTAATCATGTAACCTGTACATTGACCAAAAGGCTGTGGTTCAAACAGAACAAGGGAGTACTGTATGGTTTTAAATTAGGAAGGGCGTGAATCAAGGTTGTATCCTTTCACCATATTTACTCAATCTGTATGCTGAGCTAATAGTCCCAGAAGCTGGCATATATGAAGAGGAATCTGGCATCAGGATCCGAGGAAGACTAATAAACAACCTGCAATATGCAGAGGACACAACTTTGCTTGGTGAAAGTGAAGATGACTTGAAGCACTTACTGATGAAGATTAAAGATTAGAGTGTGCAGTATGGATTATACTTTGACATAAAGAAAACAAAAATCCTCACAACTGGACCAGTAAGCAACATCATGATAAATGGAGGAAAGGTTGAAGGTGTCAAAGATATCATTTTACTTGGATCTTCAATCAACACTCATGGAAGCAGCAGTCAAGGAATCCGATGTCATATTGCACTAGGCAAATCTTCTGCAAAACAACTCTTTAAAAGTGTTGAAGAGCGAAGATGTCACTTTCAGAACTAAGGTATACATAACCTAAGCTGTGGTATTTTTATTTGTCTCATATGCATGTGAAAGCTGGACAATGGATAAGGAATTCCAAAGAACTGATGCCTTTGAATTGTGGTATTGGTGAAGAATTCTGAAAATACCATGGACTATCAGAAGAATGAACAAATCTATCCTGGAAGAAGTACAGCTGGGGTGTTCCTTAGAAGTGAGAAGGCCAGACTCTGTCATCTACTTTTGTCATAACCAGAAAGGACCAGTCCCTGGAGGAGGCTATCATGCTTGGTAAAGCAGAGGGTCAGTGAAAAAGGGGAAGACCCTCAATAAGATGGATTGACACAGTGGCTACAAAGATGGGCTCATGCATAACAAGGATTGCGACAATGGTGCAGGTCTGGGCACTGTTTCATTTTGTTGTACATAGGGTCACTATAAGTCAGAATCTACTGGATGGCTGCTAACAACAATATCAACTATAATCTTAAAAATTATACTTTGCTTTTTTTATTTTTAAGATAGACCAATTTTTAGGGAAGTTTTAGGCTCACAGAGGAATTGTACAGAAAGTTCAGAGTTCTTGCATACCCTCTCTCTCCCCTGCACACAATCTTATTAACATCTTGCATTTGTGTGGTGCATTTGTTATAGGTGATGAACAACATCGATACATAATTACACACTGAAGTCCATAATTTACATTAGGGTTCACTTTTGTGTTGCACAGTCCTATTGGTTATGACAAATTCATAATGTCATGTATGAAAAAAATCACATAAGATCACATTAACATTTGATGTATAAAAAATAAATACAAACAAATCTATAAAGAAGAGATGTTGTTTTTCCCAGTCATTTAAAATTGATGCTCTGAAAATTTCAATTAGTATAAATATATATGTGGTTATTCAGGCTTCTCTTAAATGATGCTTACATGATAATTGAGCTTTTGGCTCCTCTATGATGTCTGGAGACACTGGTTTTCCATTTCCTCTCACAGTCTATGGAAAATGCCTCATAAATGTTTGTCTCATTTATGACAATTTCATTGATACGGTGGAGTTTAAATCAGTGATAGTTCATTATTCACTCTTATTTGAGAACTCATTTGTTCATAGTAATTTTTAATCAACCTTTTCTTTCCTATGATTTTCTTTACTTCTGAATTTATCAATTTTTGGTAGGAATTTATTCTCCTTTGTTTATATTTCTATGTAATTCTTTGAGGTGTTACTTATTTTGCTTTTCATCAGTTGCTCCTGAATATTCTCCCTACTTTACTCACTTATATTATGTTTTATGACAAACTTAATGTTTTAATGTTAAGCAGTCATGATCCTAATAAAATGTTATTGTTGTTATGTGCCGTCGAGTCAGACCTGACTCAGCAACCCCTCACTGGGTTTCTGAGGCAGTATCACTACAGAAGTAGATTGCCCAACCATCCTTTCAAGGAGTGGCTGGTGGGTTTGAACCACCACACTTCTGGTTAGCAGTCAGGTGTCTTAGGCACTATGCTACCAGAGCTCCTCCTAATAAGATAGTTGCCCAGTAATAAAAACAGCTACCGTTTAATGAATGGTACCATTTAATTCTATGCCAGGCAAAATGCTAAGCACTTGACATGGATTGACTCTTTGAATCCTAGCAATTTTATGATGTAAGCATAATTATCACCCAAATTACACAAATGAAGAAACTAATTATTAAAGAGGTTAACTAACTGCTCAGGATTTCATAGCTAGTAAGCTCCATTATTGGGAAACTAAAAAATGCTAATATACCAACTATTTCTTTGTGATCATTCATTTGTGCATTCTCTCCCAAAATTCTTCCATTCATTCAAGAAATTGTTGAACATATGTGTATACGCTGGAGAATAAAACAACACTGGTTTTATCCTACTTTGCAGTGTAATTGGGTATATAGATACTAATAAGAACACTTTTATGACTATCACTGTTTTAAATGTGTTAGATATATTAACTATATATGTTTGTCTCATTTATGACAATTTCATTGGTACAGTGGAGTTTAAATCAGTGATATTTCATTATTCACTCTTATTCGAGAACTCATTTGTTCATAGTAATTTTAATTTTCACAAAGAACAACTTTTATTTCTGAAAATTGGCAGGAACAGCTGGTAGAATTATTAGATTCTGAGCTCTTCCAGGCAATGCCAATAAGAGCTCTCTGAATTCAATAATGTCAATGAGTGCTCTTATCCTTATTTGATTTGAATTATGTAATTACATACTCTGTCCAATTCTGCTTTCAGACATTATTAATAATATATTTTCTCTAATGTTTTTACCACTTTGTGTGTGTGTGTGTGTGTGTGTGCTGGTCACACACTTTTGTTATATTGCTTTTCCCTTCACTCAAATCAAAACATCTCTTAACTAGTCAGCGGTTTTTCCTCCCCTACTTTACCCTCCCATCCCTTAAATTTCTGCTTCTTATAGTAATTTTAGAATGTTTGGCACATAGGAGGGCTGCAACAGACTTTAGTTTTAGATTTTGTTTTTGAAATAAAGGAAAAGGAAAGACGAATATGCCAAATAAAATTAGAAGCAGGAAGCAGATACTAGATCAGGGAGTAACAATTGTCTTAGTCAAATGTTCTGTGGGTCTGCTATCTTTCTACTTCAGATATCAAGCTTGGCATATAGCATGAATAGTGAACAAATCCAAATTAGATTACTCAACTGCCCTTTTGCCAGGGACACATTGAATTAGCTTCAAATATTCGATTACTTGTTTCATATTACCTCATTGGTAGAACTTGTGTTTCAAAAGACAATCTGAAAAATCCTGCCTACAGTCTGATTTAAATAAACAAAAAAGCAAAATGATACAAGTTCCAGCCCATGCTTCACTATGGGAAACATCTGATAGTTTAGAAACATGACGCTGAATATGATTGCCAGGTACACAAGTAGAGGTAAAATATTATAGATAATGTTATAATGAGTAAATTAAATTACCAATGAATGCCTGTCATCTCTTCTATTGAATAAATTATCTTAAACATTATGTACAGTATGTTCCATGTGGCTTACATGGAAATATGTATTCTTTGCCCTGTGGCTTATTACATGTCCATGATCTGATAATAAGGGTCCATAATCAGAGATAATAAAATAATAGACAACAAAACAGGCCAAACTATTTCCAGCAGAGTGAGTATATGTTAGGTATAAAAACCTTCCTCTGAATATTGGCTATTAATATCAAAACTACATGTTGGCATATGGAAATCCCAATTTTATTTGCAGCTTCAATGTTACCAATCATGTTGCTAAAATTTTTATTTTCTTTTCACAAAGAACAACTTTTATTTCTGAAAATTGGCAGGAACAGCTGGTAGAATTATTAGATTCTGAGCTCTTCCAGGCAATGCCAATAAGAGCTCTCTGAATTCAATAATTCGATTTTTACTCTGTACTTTAGTGACTATTGCCTGGAATCTGCCCATTTTTAACAAAGAATAAAATGAATCAGTAAGCCACAAAAAGGCTGTAAGTCAGTCCTATAGTGATATTTCCAAATAAGCAGGGTTTTTAGAAGCAATATGCATCAGACACCTTCATAACTCAAGTGATAAGCTATCTCCTGGTTTATAGTCTAGGTAGTATCTGGTGTTTACTGAAGTTATTTGTTTTATGGTGTGGGGTATGAAATGTGTTAAATAACACTCCCAAAATAAAACAACACATGTTATAATGCAGTCTCCCTGCATGTTAGTCCATGTAGCAGTTAGAAACCAGGAGATCACGTTTTTCCATTTTTTCTTATTAAGTACACAATTATTAGAATGCAATGTCCAGTTCTAACAATAACAATAGCTACTACTTATACTTGTCATATAGTATATACCCAACTGAGCGACTGATGAAGTTTTAGGATATGTTAATTGATGTCAATGAGTGCTCTTATCCAATTGTATTCTAGGGCAGTTTACTGTCAGAAT